CATGTAAGCAATGAACAATATTTAATAAGGATTGATAAAAGAGAGAAGACGTGTGAATGGAAATATTCTGTGGCGGCCGCGTAACTTGATCACTACCAGAAACATATGCGTTATTTCAAGTGTTACCTTAATTTAAGTAATGCAGTTGTATCTATGCGTACGATTTTATAGGAAAAATTTAAAAATTATATAGATTGTGCAACAACTATTTCGCTCGGAATCACGTCAGTCAGCTCCGGTCTCAACAGACGTACTAAAAATCTGAACTAGAGACTCGTTTTGAGAATTGAGAAAAATCGAGTATGACTGTACTCCGAAGTCGTAGTAACAGTATAACTTACGAAACAGGATCACGAACTTCGGTAACCTGGACGAGAACCTATTGTCAACGTGAACGGAGCACCGATTTTGTTAGCCATCCGCGTAACGCGTACAACCGTTTTTGGTCCCTGTTTCCTTGGTTATGTTCTGGCGACCGTGGCTCCTACTGGTACTGCAGCCGATTCGGCAGAAGTTTCCGAGCGATAAGACTAAGTATGAAAAAGTCAAAAGAAAAACGTGCGGCATCCGACATAATATCCGCGGCGGTTTATGATTGATCGCCGGCGCGTTCGTTATCCGCCGGCAGCGGCGCTCTGTGTGTTTTATCAATCATCGCGAAGAAAAAAAAAACCTCGGTAATAACGATGCGGGTAATGAGCAGAAGTGCGCGTCCCGGTCAGAAAAACGCATTACGCACGCTCTCGGAAGTAATAATTGCCAGGTACAAGACCGAGGCGATCGCAGGCACACGTTCTTACTCCGCGTCCACACTCCGCAACCGACTAATCGTACTGCAGCCAACGAAAATTACCGACATCGATCAAATGATGAGGGCGAACAAATAAAATAGTAGGAAAAATAGAAAATGCACTTCAGCCGATGAACTGGATTCTTTACCAAACATGGTATTGAAATGTCGTATTGCCAATCGACGGTTATTTAAATGCCGTACAGCGTACAAAGAGAATAAAGTTATAATCCGTTTCGAAGTATGAACAAATATACTATACTAGGTATAATGGTTTTTTTTTTTTTTTTTTTAATTCGATAAAGCGAAAAAAATAGTTATCATTTGATGTAAAAATGTGATTAATGACTAACCTATTCCCATTAAATTATTGTTGTACACATCAGTTGGCTTACCACGTGCATTTGCAGAAACGCCATCGATAACGACTGCAACGTATTTTCCTTGATGCAAAAAAAAAAAACACCGACGGTTCACACTTCAGACGCAAAGTGCTTTAAATTCCAAAGAGCACTACACCGAACCATAGCTACGTAATGATATGTGTGTGTCAAAAGCCTGGTGTTTCCGAAACACGCACGTTGTCCCCGTCGCCGCGAGCGCAAAGGAATGCAGATGGTACACGAGGGCACGACGAGAGCGAGATGCGAGCGCGGGGACGCGATTTAATGTGTCCGCACGACGAGAACTGGTCGCTCGTAAACAGGAGTATGGCTGGTATCCATGGTATGGTACAAGGATACCGCGGTCCGAACGCGACCGCGATCGGACTCGCGGGGCGCAAGAAGAGCGCGGGCGGGGCGTTATCCGGACTCGCTAAAAGGTGATACCACCGGTGTCGTGATTAGAGAAAAGTCGATTCGAGGCGGTGCGCGTTCACATAAACTGGTCAAGTTTTGCATAATACTTGTGGTTAAAGTCGACACACGTTCACCCGGTTTGTCACAATATGTCACATTCTCGCACGCACGCGTACAACGCATAAACTTCGATGGCCTCGACGGCTTTCGCGCGTACAAAACCATCGTGTAGCGAACGCGCGTGATGTAGGGAAAAAATGAAAATAAATAATGATAAATAAGTCCGACGTAACTACGGTGATAACCGTGTATCATCGCAAATAACGTGACAACGCGTACGTCGGGACCCGGTTTTGAAAATACTTAAAACGGAGACGAATCACGACTACCGGTGCGGCCGTGATGCGTACGCGCGCCTACGAGAAAGGTGTGGAGTCCGGTTGCACTTCTGACGAGCATTAAGTTAGAAAAATAATCAAATAAATTACAATTTTCTTTGTACGTCATCAATAATGCCATTCGCGTTGGATCCGAAGTCCGCGTGTTCTTACGGCAATTTCCGGCGGTCGCGCGCGTCGATCGTCACGAGAAACGGTCGTGTGTTTTATCGTCTAAAAGCTCCGAATAACATTGACGGATGTGCGAACCGTTCGAATCCGTGCTCGAACCGTTCACGTCTACGGCCGTCGGGTGGAATTTCGTTTTTTATCGACTCATTCTGTCGACGTGATCAGTTCGAACACGAATTTAATGTTTACGTCTTGGAAAGTTTGTCTGCTTTTGGATTTTTTCCCTTATATTTTCCACTACATACAATAGAAAGTTAATTTATTCGTCTTCGTATAACCGAAAAATATCTTCATCCCGTAACAAAAGTTTGCGAAAAACAATGTATGGTGTTCTGCGTAGTTTTACCTGTCCGTAAAAATGTCGTTCGTGTGACGCTTTCGCCCTCAAATAAATGTTTAACAGCAATATTTGTTTCGAACACAAAATAAAGGGACATCCGTTTTATAATCCGTACTCGTTGCATTGAAACGAACAAATGTCGGCCGATTCTACCGACCGACGTCGGTGCCACTGCGACCATAGCCTATCGATTTACGTATGTGTTCGTTCTCGCACCGATCCTCGACGGTGGTGCCAGTGCCGCGTTAATTGCTATGTAGCCACCTCGAGGCAAATTAGCCACCCTTAAGAATATTACAATTCAAAATAAAAAATAATATATATTATAGTTATGCAGTGATACAAGAAAAATTATAATTATGTATTTTTTATTTTACAATGATCCTTAAAAATTTGACGCTTCGTCGAACATCATAAAATTTTCGCCTTGGGAAAATTTCCCCCTTCCCCCTCGCCACTCGTTAAACGCGGCTATGGGCGATAGGCGTATTGGTCTACGAAATCTTGTAGACGAAGGAACGGGTTCTGCTGTAGGATTTTTTTTTTTTTTTTGTTGTTGTTTGTCATCGATATTGTATGTTAATCTCAATGGGACAAATTTTGATTGAAAAAAATTCGCATTATCACGTTCGTTGCTCTCAGATATCTGCTTGAACCGTGAATGATGTCATCCACCATCTCTGTTAGTTTAGTTATGAATCATGGTTCTGACCGGTCGGGTCGCGTTAACGACCGGTACGCGAGTTTCAGATCGCGACGGGACAAAAACGGTCGGCCGAGAGTCGGTGTTTTTATCTGATCGAGCGGTGACGCCACGTGGAAAAAAAAAACCGCGGCGTACAAAAACGGTGTGATAACGTGGACGCGATCGCGGAAATCGAGAAGACGACGGGCCCCGGCCGGGGCAGAGCGGGACGCAGCTCTCGTGTAATCGGACACCCTTCGCGGACGCGCCGACACGACAACACCTCGCGCAATTAGTGTCGTTTAACGGGCCCGCGAGCCCATCACGTGACACGTAATAATTTTTCACGTCGTCGGTGACGCCGTCTTTGAAAACCGGGTAATTTTTCACCGTAGACCGTGTCGGTTTTTATTACTATTATTACTACGATTATTATTATTATTATTATTATTACGGCCGTTAATATATTTTTTTTCGCGACATTACACCCGTACGGGCGTACAGATTGCGATCGGGAACGGGTTCGCAGACCACACGTCTTGTGCCCCGTCCGCCGGGGTCGTCTGGTCTCGTCGCATCGTCTTCGCGTCTTCTGATGTGCCGACGGCCGCGCCGCGGTCGATCGGTCTCGCGAAACCCGTCCGGGAAGTGATCGTTCCCGGATTAGCGGTTCTGAACCACTCGACCCGTGCCAGCCGGGGCGTGCACTCGGTGCCAGTTTTACGGCGGGGCGGTCCAGGGGATCTGGATCCGTCCCCTGGAGGTGTAAAATCCGCAGCGTCCGAGTTGGGTCCCGAGTACTTGGGGCTGCTGATCGCAGGTAGTGTACTGGTTTGGTCCCGGATTTTCAGAGGTACTACACTAGTTCCTGAATATTTTTTAGTAAGTACTAAATTATAGTATCGTTTTCCTTCCCAATTCAACAGGCTTAGCACTGTCTATGATCTATTTAGACCACAGTTATGGTTAAAAATGATTTTTATTGTTTTTTTTTTTTTTTTGGTTTCTTTTCCATTAAAATGTAAATTATTAGAAAATTGTGTTGGCAAAAATATTAAAAATGTTAAAATCGTTATATAATATAAATAAAAATTAATAGAAGAAAAACTAAAAAAAAAACAAAAAAAACATTTTTAACCATACTTGTTGTCTAAATAGATCATAGACAGTCCCAAGCCTGTTAAAATAGGAAGGAATATGTTAGTATAATATATAACATAGTATTTACCAAAAATTATTCAGGAACTTGTGTAGTACCTATAAGAATCCGGGACCCAACTAGTATAGTACCTCAAATAATTCTGGACTCAATTCGGATGCAGTCGTAAAATCAGGCCTACCTATATATTTAATACGATTACCTTTGCAATACCATATAAATTAGATGTAACAAATTGTGAGACTACTGTTCTTCGAAAATAACCGGTATCTCTGCCAAACTTTTCTTATTTGAGTACTGTATATTGCACACTTTGTATAAATTGTTTACGGAATTTGCATTCGACGAAAAAGGTACGTTACTAATAATAATATGATACAAAACCCCATTTACGACCGTCAGTCCCACGTGCCGCCGTGTGGTTTTCATTACAACTCGTCAACAGAATTATCTGATTGAAAGTCGCAGATAATAATATTAATAAAAATCAGACCGAGAACACGCGTGCGAAGGTGGGTAGGCCGATAGATAGATATGGGTAGGAAGACATGCATTTATAACGAACGATATATTTACGCTGACAATTAGTTAATGGACGATTATTATTATAATATTATTTTTCAATGACGTGTCGCGTCACGCATACCACACCACCTTTTAGCCTTCCGACGACGACGACGACGATCAATCAATTTTGATATTATATTATACTTCACGTTCACATCGATACACATCGCCGGAGACGTTACGGTCGTGTAAATCGAAACAATCTTACCGAATAGTGGTGACAGTGGCGCGTACCTCCGACGGAGCAGCAGCCACCGCCGTCGAAAGACACACTATTACTGTTACCAATCATAATAGTAATAAAAATAATACTAATCTGTATGATGTATCTGAACACCATACCGCGCACCGTGGTCGGAGCAGTGAAACGCTGCAAAGAAGATCAACATCCGGACGCAGGCAATGGCGTGGGAGAAGCATATTATACATCTTATGGATTTCTGGCCACGCGTAGGAACGTATCACGTAGAGAAAGACGTATGGTTATGGTGGACAGCTTATCGATCAACGGTTGAGAGCGTGTGCGGCAGTAATTCTAGGATAACCGACGTAGGCTCTTCAGATGATTTCAGGACCTTTTACATGCAGTAAAAAAAAAAATTGTTTTCATTCATGATTGTTGGAGTACAAAAATGAACAGTACGATAAAATAGATGTGACAAAAAATAATCGATTGAAGCGAACCAATAAATTATTATCGAAACCAAAAAAAAAAAATTAGAGTTTGATATTAAACAATTTATATTCTTTGGTCTAAACATACGAGACACGTTAACTAGTCTTTAACGATGACCAATCATTAAATTAATCTTTTTCCCATTCATCAGTTGAAACTATTGGAAAATTAATCAAAATCTAAAACTCCGAAACCTCTTTTAATTTGTACACCATTAGGTGCTCATCGTGGCCGTTCGGTATATTTTACCCATTACCAACGTACCCGTGCATAAGAGGTTACATTTTTTTTTCTCCCTCAATATGCATACAGGACGCGTTTTGATTAACAACTCAAACCGACGGTCGAAATCTGTCCTCGGTTCACATCGAAACGCGATCGGGTACCATAAATATTAAAGTGTTGTTTCGCATGGCGGCGGCGTTCTTCTCCGCACCGAATGGATTAATAATAATGTATAAGATGTACATGACGATATAATAATACGAAGTCGCCGCCGCCGTGAATCCGGTCGGGATTTTTACATCTTCGCCCCTCCCCCCTCCCCCCCTCGAAGGATACGCCAGGCGAATAATTATTCGATTCATTGTGAACGAGACGCACGCGCGCACGTAACTTCTTACGTAAAAACGACGAGGGAAAAAGTTGTCCTATTACCATGCACTGCCGTATACGCAAAAAGATGCTAAGAAAATCATAACCCGTGAGCGGTCGGCCCGGGGTGCAACGATTGCTACGTACCATCGACAAAGATGTCGAGCGGTGGAGAGGGGGCGGAAAAAAAATTATAAGCGAAAAAAAAATAATAATAATAATAATACGATACGACCGATTGCGTGTGCCGACTCGGTGGTACACCCGATACCGATAAAGAATATTAAAAACGAAATATCGATATAACAACTGAACGGCGGAATGATTTATATTAACAGTAGTGGTTGAGCACGGACGGGCGCGCGGCAAACTACTTTGTCATTAGCTGCTAATGAATTTACTTTATTGCGTCCGGAACGAGCGGGCCACGAGGAATACGTACGTGTACGTATATTAATAACTATTTATTGCCCAATTAAAGACTCGGGGAATCATTTTTTTCTTTTTTTTTTTTTCTCTGTACTTCTATAATCCCCGTTCTTCTTTTATAAACAGCATCTTCTCGGTAGGCGGAAAAAAAATAGAAATAAAACGAGATCCGATATCACCGCTCGCACACGTCTCATTTTTTTTTCTCTCTACATCTAACGAATTCAAGCCGGTAGCGGAGGGGAAACGCGCACACGTCCATGGGCGGTAGTAGTAGCCGCGTAAGTGTATAGCAGTAAAAGTTATTGCCACCTCTGCCACCGTCCCGTCTGTACTTATTATAATTATTATTGTACTCGGCCGTGATACGTCGTGCGTCGGCCGGACGAGTTGTAACGAGCTCGTGTGAACGGTCAGAGAAGCGGTGGTGGCGGCACGGTCGGTGGTGTTACAACAACTGGTACGCGTGTTGCGCTACTGCGTAAGAGATGGCGCAAAAAAGAATAAGTATTTCGGTGAGGCTGTCCTGCCGAAGTCCTGGAAACCCTGCGATGCGGACACGATGCAAACGAGGAAGCAAAACTGAAATACATACCTTCTTACCGACGTTCTTACGGAAATATAACTAGGACAAACGTGTTTTGCCACGGTAAGAACATCAAAGACTAGTATAAGTGTTTATAAGTCACAGACGCGCATTCGTCACAAAAACTCTCATAAACAATGCCGATTTCGACGTATACCTCGACGATAACAAACGACGACCAAACGCTCAAACAAACTTATGATCGACGGAGTGCAATAAACATTTTCAAACATACGTAACCCCGACCCACCACATTGGAATAATACATTTTTTTTTTTT